TTTTTTTTTTTAATTTTTACTTTGATTTTTAAAACCTTCTACCCAGCACTTTGCTCAGGAGAAATGTTTGCTGTGGTTGTTTTAGTAAAATCAAACAACTCCAAAAGGGTACAGAGCATTGGAATTGTTCTCTAGAGTCGATGAACAAGAAGTTTGTAAATAAACACATCTGGGATAGGCTTATTGTATAATAAATACAAAAGTACTTTGTGAACTATAAAGCTCTTCGCTGTGGGTTATTATTTGAATTACTCTCACAAAACACAAAAATTAGGAAGACAAAAAGAAAGAGAAAGACACAGCCCAGGTAAGTACAGTCTTTCCATCCACACGCTTCATTTAAACCAACTCTGTAAGTGAAATGGTGCCACTTCAGGCAGTTAGCTTACGTGGGAAATTGTAGAAAAGACAGGTCTGGTTCTAAACCACATAATTTACAATGTGAGCAGAAAACAATTCATTCACACAGGTGTTCTTTAAAATTATTTGATTTCAGATCTTTTAAGAAGTCACTATCAAACAAATTGCTACTCCTTTACCTGACCACATTCCAACACAGAACACCTAACCAGATGGCTGTTGTAGAGATCCACAATTTACACTGCCCTTAGAACCTTGTTTGCAAGATCTGTGCTTGAGGTTGGGAAGTTCACAGAGACTGAGGAGGTGGAGTTTATTCTCACTGTGTGGTTGTCCAAAACAAAGTCAAATTAGACCACCTGTTTGTTCAAATACGAAGCTGATAAACCTTAGCTTCCAGGAGCAGAAGACAGGCTTAAGCCGTAAACTGAGAGTATCGGTATGCAACACTCCAGCCATTGTTCTCTTTTCCATTTCTCCTTCCCCAAGGGATGTGCCAAGTCCAATAATAAGTAAAACTTACCAATATTTTTTAAAAATTTAACAAAAACTTGTTTCATGCTTTTATTTACTCTTCTTGTGACAGCTTTTTCTTATAAGCAAACATCTAGGAAAACCAGGTCTCTTTCTTGTAACTAAGTATATAATAAAGCTGGGATTAGTAAAGCTGTTCCCAAGTGGCTCTTAATTTGCAAGTCCTAAATACAGAAGCAGACACGCTTGGTAACTCAAAGCATCAGGCTTGGATGTCACTAGGTTCAAAGATTGTGGAATTCACAGACATAACCATTCAGCTGAGGAAAGAAAAAGAGAATAAACTAAAAAGAAGATGCTGAAAAAACTGGAGAGTATAGAAGAGTTAATTACAAAGCTTTTCAATTTGGAGTCTCTACATCAAACATGGTGATCCTTGGTCTGAGAAAACTACCTGCCAGGACAGATATCCATGCTCCACATGCAGAGTTTTTGTTTTGTTTTGTTTTGTTTTGGTTCCTTTTTTTACACCGTGTTTTAAGAGTTATGCAACCCTTAGAAAGCAGGTAGCTCTAGTTGTTAAGTACTTTATACACAACCAAATATTAAGACTTTCTATAGTGGTATTAAGAATGAACAGGATTCAATTTTAAATGGTTAAGCTTCATAATTTGTCTTCCTGACTAAGTGAGTTTCAACCTCAAAGGAAAAAAAAGTAGATTATTTCCCATAGAAGGAAATCGGGAGAGAGCTCTTCAGATGTAGGTGGCTTCGCTGATCAGATATAAGCTCCCCGGAGTTTGTTTCCAGCTTTATGCTTTTATGGCTCTCACCATGCTAGCGGGAATCTGGTGTCCCACTCTGTGCACCCCCAAACATATTCATATGAACAATTCCAGGTAAAAATCTGACTCATTCAAGTCACCAACCACTCAGAAATCAGAGTTAGAATCCGGCACCTTTCTGTGGTGTCACTGGATTGGCATGTGACCCCAGGCAGGAGGGACAGAGATGAAAGGACTGGGCCATCTCAGTGTGGTGCTCATTACCTCTCCCGCTCCTGCTCCAGCAGGTTGGTGAAGTCGTCGCTCTTGTTCATGTAGTCAGTGTGTTTGTGCTTCTCGCTCTCTAACTCGTACACGGTGCGCCTGTGACACTTCTCTGCCAGCAGCAGCTGCTCTAGCATGCGCCGGTAGGTTTCTTTCTGTTTTTCCTCAAGTCTGTCCAGCTGAGTAAACAAACATGGGAAAGAGCTTAATATTTTATTTGATTTGCATATGACTCAAAATATTACATTAGTCTACTGATTTATTATCTGAAAGAGAGAACATTGAGTCTGGTGTTCTCTGCCATTTTCCCCATTCCCTCATTTTGTCTAGGCCAACTGGCTTTGTAAACTAGCCATAATAAGGCTGCGGTAACTTCTGGCCTTCTGGCCCTTTTTCTGTGGACAGATGTAGGGTTCCTAAACTTGCAAGAGAACAAACTCTCTCACTATTTTAGTGAGATGACATAAAACCCTATACTTAGAAAGAAAGAGGATAACGGCCCTCCTGATCTCAGAAAAATTAAGAGCTCAGCATGTACATATACCAAACTTCTCCTGTGGGAAGTAATTACCATAATCACAATCTGTTTTTAAGACTTGCAGTTACTTGCATTTCTAGGAAATGTATAGGAAGGATCCACAGTCCGCTCTTTTCAAGTATGCTGAATAGAGGGAGGATTTCAGAACTTATAGAGAGCACATACCTCAGACTAAAGGAGATGTTATCAAATATTATTACAGGACTTTTTGTGCCTATTTCTCTGACCAGGCTATCTTTTTTTTTATTGTTTTTTAAGTTTGTTTATTTATTTTGAGAGAGAGAGAGAACACGTGCACATGCACGAGCAGGAGAGGGGTAGAGAGAGGGAGAGACAGAATCTCAAGCAGGCTCCCAGCTATCAGCACAGAGCCTGACCTACGGCTGGATCTTATGAACTCCCTGGGAGAGCATGACCTGAGCCAAGATCCAGAGTCAGACACTTAACTGACTGAGCCACCCAGGCACCCCCAGGCTAAAAGATCTTTAAGGGGTGCCTTGATTATGTTTTTAGTCCCTAGTGTCAAGCACAGTGCCTAGAACAAAGTAAGTGTTCAGTAAATGTTTGTTAGGTTGGACCAAATCTTATAATATTGATAGTTCCCTATCCTGTTCTCCTCTTCAAACTGCAGTTCAGGGTTTCTCAACTTTAGCACTACTGACAGTTTGGGCCAAATAATTCTTTATTTTGCGTGGTTGTTTTGTGCATTGGAGAATGTGTAGCAGCATCTTTGGCCTCTGCCCCCCAGATGCCAGCAGAGCTGCCTCTAGTTGTGACAAACCTGTTGTCAGAAATCGCCAAATGTCTCTTGGAGAGCAAAACACTTCCACTGCCGCTCACCCCAAGCTGAGAATCACTGTTTTCATTGAAACAGACATATTTAAAATCCATTCTCAAGCCATTATTTACTCCCTAAAACCTAATGGGGTCACTCCATGGGTGTCAGCATCTGAATTCTTTCCCTGGGTTCTCCATGTTTGTCCCTTAGTCATACGGAGGATCTAAGTTTCCCTCTACAGTTGCATGATATCTCCATTGTGAATAGATCATTTCTGGGGCCCCAGATAAAAGATACTGTCCTGATAATCCTCAGTGTTTCCGATCAGATTTTCATCCCCCCTTTGCCTAAGAGCAGGGGATCAGACAGACTGGTAGAGAAGCCCAGGTTAACTGGTGGCTGATACCATCAAATGATACATTTGATATCATCAAGGATTACCAAATGGTACTTTTGTGTGTTCTGATAGATTTATGTAATCTTATACGAGAGAGTTCCTTCATTGGAATATCTCCCTACTATAAAACATTCTCCCTCAGGAACTCTCCTATCTTTCTACAATGTGATTTTCATCATACATTATAGAATGGTCAAGCATTTCTAAAATACCATCATCATCATCATCATCATCATCATCATCAATGTAGAAAGAGCAGCTCTTTCCCTTTTTTGATCCTTTCTACTTATCATAGGACTCTCCTTCCTTTTGAAAGTATTTGGAAGAGCAACTTCTGCCTGTTTCTTCATACCCGCCCCCACTTCCCTAAAGAAGGAGAGGTGACTTATTTGAAACTTGTATTTGGGATAGGAAACTAGGCATAAGCAGTTCAGCCTTTTTATTTCTTATTTTTTTACTCTGCCTGCCATAAAATGGTACATCATGCTCTGAAGGCCCCAAATCTCCTTCGAGTGGTTTCTCCAAAGACTAGGAGTAAAGTAATAGAAAGCCCAGTGGTGTTTGTTCATTTATCTATTCAGACCAATACGATTACAAGCTTCAACTCATCTATCCAACTCCTGCAGTTATCCCTCAATGCCTTCAAAGAACTCTTGAGGGGAAGATGGGGGCATTATTAATTGGATAGCTAAGCTATTCAGAAAGATACACATTGTAAGGGCATCTGGAGAAAAACAGAGTATTTTGATATTAAGTGTTCTAAGGCAGCCTAGGTAGAAGATAGGCCTTAGCTTTAATATGTTCTGCCCATGTGGGCCTTTGAGATTGGTTGCTCTCAGCAGCTACAATCCTGGGGCTAGCCAACTGGAGTAGTTGCTGGGGTCTCAGTCGGCAATGTTCCACTAACCTACACTAGCCGAGCTTGACTCCAGCAATGATTACATAATCACAGGGATAGTCTTTTTGTCTCTTAATGCATTGAAAGGATGCCGAGACACTGGTGTGTGCATTAATTTTCACTGCAGACCCAGACATTAAACTGTAAAGGTAGCAAATTCCTTTTTAGGAATAAATCATTAGTGTGTGAGGATCTAGCTTTTAATTTTAAATTCCAGATGTAAGAACCAACATAGGTAGCAAAATATCAGCTGTACAAGACCTGTGTCTTGCCATTTTGTTTGGAATTACATAGAGCTCCCAGGAGAGAACTGAGGTGGGCTAACCTCTCAGGTCTATGTGGCTTGTCTAGAAGCTTGGAAGACCAGCTCCCATAACTATAGCTCTGTAGATTCATTAATCATGTATACTATGTCCATGACTTTTGGTTTTCAGGATCCAAACTGTGGCTCAACCATAGAGGAATGCTTGCTTTTATTAATGAACAGTGAAAGTGAAATGGGAACCTATTACTTTAGAAATATAGCTCCCACTTGGACAGGTGGAAGGAAAATTGAATGAGATCATCATAACACCAAAGGCCAAAATTTACTAGGGAGAGTATACCTGGAAGTCTTATTCTACTAAATCAAGTTGATGGAGAAGTTTGAGGACTTGAGATGGAGAGAAATTTCAGCATGTTTTAGACAAAAGAATCATGGTTCAGGAAGTGATTTTAGCCCTGTTATCAGCAGATAGTACTAAATGGAGAAGTATTAAGGGATTTAGGAAGACAGTAATCTACTAAAGAGGAAACATGATGTCTTAAAGGCCAAACTGGACTTACACAAAAGAGAAATGGATCTAAGTGCTCTTAAAGATAGGGCTATACACAAGGGAGATATTTTAGTCATTATTGGATAAGAATGAGTGTCCAGAGGAAGTACAGATAGGAGAGCAGAGAGAACAGAGCAATGTGACTCCCCCCATAGAAAAGGTACTGGGATCCAGGAAATGTTTAAGAAGCATGCTATAAAATTGCAGACAGTTCTTCATGAGATCAGTTGGGAGCCATTCTCTTGAAGGCTGCCACAGCTATTCAAAGTAGATACATAAAATATAGACAGATTTAAGAATTAAATTCTGAGAAGATCAAGGTAGAAAATTTGAAGCATTATTTGGTGAGTTTCAAGGTGCCCACTAATATTGATGGGCCCTGAGTGAACACACTCAAGAAACATAAAGATGTAGAGTTTGGAGGAAAGATGAGACAAACAAAGGAGTATTCACGTAGGACAGTAGCATAAACAGTCCAAACTTGGGATGAAGTGAAATGAGGAAAGACTCATCCTTCAGTGAGGATTATCCAACTCAAGGACATAAATGTAGGTAAGATTTGCCTTGACTAAAGTATCTTCTTGGAAGGTTCATAACTCCTTGATTTTACTTCTAGCACATAATACAGAACACAGAAGGTAATATTAGGAAAACTAATGTCTGGGTCAGAAAGCATAGGGAAAAAGAAGCAAACAAATAAAAACCACTATAAGATCCATAAAATAGTGAGAAAAAAAAGGGACCACTTGAAGAAACTAGTCAAAATGTTAACAAAAACAAGGGTCCCTGGGTGCTAGGTTGGTAGAGTATCTGACTCTTGATTTTAGCTCAGGTCATGATCTCACAGTTTGTGAGTTTGAGCCCCACGTCAGGCTCTGCACTGACAACATGGAGCCTGCTTAGGATTCTCTCTTCCTTTCCTTCTCTGCCCTTCCTCTGCTCAGTTTCTCTCCCTCTCTCTCAAAATAAATAAATAAACATTTAAAAAACAAAACAAAGACTCAGTTGAGTCCTCTTACTGAAGAAAAAAAGAAAACAATTAAAGAGGTTTTAAACATGCAGGCAGAAAAATAGAGAACCTAAAACAAAACCTAGGTACAGAGAAGGTGACCACTGCAAATCCCTAAACTTTTGAAAAGACAGATATGTTTTAAATGCCACTCACTGAAGGCAAGGATAGTGCATGCAAACAGATTCCTCCCCCCAATCTAGGGTTCACCGTTTCTATTATTATTTTAAAAAAATTTTTTTTAACGTTTATTTATTATTGAGAGACAGAGAGACACAGAGCGTGAGCAGGGGAGGGATAGAGAGAGGGGGAGACACAGAATCTGAAATAGGCTCCAGGCTCTGAGATGTCAGCACAGAGCCCGACGCAGGGCTCAAACTCACAAACCGTGAGATCATGACCGGAGCCGAAGTCGGTCACCCAACCAACTGAGCCACCCAGGCGCCCCTAGTTTCTATTATTACTAAACTTTGATGGTAACAGGCTCTGTCTGATGTGGACAACTGCCCCAGACTGACCAGAATCCTGTTGTAATTAAAGATTTTCTCTGCCTATCTTCCTTCCCTTAGACTTCCCCTAAGTCTCTACTTCAGTCTTGCTAAGAGTAACATGGGCCTGCATTATGCTGAGTCATTTTGCTTGAGATAAATTGACCATGGAACTGAGGATTTTCTTGCATTTCTTAAATTTATGAGTGTGAGGTTGGTATTATGATAATTGCATGTGTCCTAATAAGTCTTTGGACACTTTGATAAAAGGGGAATAGGGGGACTTTAGGGTATATTAATTAAACTTTGAAAATGCATAAGATTAAGATCCCTCAAGCTAAGCAGAATAAGAATTTGGGAAGGAAAGAAACTGAAACCTTGATTTCTTTGGAATTTTGCTGAAGAATTATGAATTTTGATATCCTGGACTTTAATTCACAAAGAAGCTCAGGGAGATTTAATATTTGCTGCTTAATTTCTCCCCAAATATTTGGCAAATGAGAGGGATCCACCACATGGGGTTCATTGTTTAACCTCTGATAAATTCCATTGAATAACCTAGCTGGGCCTAATCTGGTATGCAAATTAAAATGAGCAGTGGGTTTTTGGCTTGAGGTGCAGGATAGCTTCTAAGAAGAAGAGCTAGACTATCTGCTCATAGTCCTAGGAGGCTAACAGAACAGTGATTGTATTGGTATCCTTGCCTCATGAAGTTGGAAGAAGGACTCCTGCCCCTTGATAATGACAACTTGATTGTTAACTTCAAAAGGTTAAGAGACCCAAAATGTGTAGATACAAGATAAATCTTTTCTCTTTCTAGCATTCTATTTCTCCTATAAAGCAGGACTTCACCATTTTGTCAGCATTGGGAAAAGTAGTTCCTGTCCTTCTCTCTACCTCCTTACTCCTCTCTAAGGGAGGAAAAACTCTTCCAACTGTGAGTTGAGGGGAGAAAGAAGTCAAAAAGCATGCCCAACTTAGTTCTAAAAGGACCACCCACAGGGTGGGTATGTTCTTCTCCACAACTCTGTCCATGAGATAGGAACACTTGGGTTAGGCCTACTTTCTGAAGGTAGGTTAGAAATTCTTCTCTTTGTGTACTTTCCATATAACTCAGTGGATTAGAGACATTGATTTTGGGTAAGTGTATGAGATTTGCAGATCTATCTCTCCTTCGAGGTGTCATCCCAAGCTCTAACTTGAGGGAAAAGAATTAGGAAACCTAAATGATATAATTTATCCAAACTGAATTCTCCAATCTGGTGGTTATCATAATAATATTTAATGAATATTTTGACTTCATTATGTCTTTCCTCCTCAAACCCCTCCAAGTTTGGAACTAGTTAAAGGTGTAAGCAAGTATCATGCCAGCAAATATCATCCCAGCAAATGTTAATGGTTAGTATTTGTTGAGTACCTGGTATGTACCAGACACTGTGTCAAAAGTTTTACAGGCATTGCTTCATGTAATCCTCACGACAACTCTGAGATATGCACTCTTGTTACTCCCACCTGACAGATAAGGTAATAAGCTTAGAGACCTGAAGTGACCCACCCAAAGCCATATGCAGCTAGTAACCATGGCTCTCAAACATGAAAGTGGATCCAGCCAGTTGACTGCATTCCATCATAAATCATCTCTTAATATTTTAGGCAAAGATGAAAACAAGAGCTCTGGCTTATCCTTGTTGCAGAAATTAGATAATTATGGGACCATCAATCTGTTGTAAATACTGTGTAAGCAGATCGCATCTGAGATCTGTCAAACTGAGCTGCTACAAACACTTGACATAAGATAAAAGTTAAATTATGATCAGTTGCTTCAGACTTTTAATTTCTGTGTTCTTTTTTTCATTTATGATACTAATTTTACATCTATGAATTTTTTTTACATGAATTCTGAAGAGTTAATATGGCTAGATCCAGCATCCATTTCCATAATTCAGCCTCTAACTTCTACTACAATGTGGGAATACTTTTAACATGTAGTATCATAGGAAATTAATAACAATAGTAAAGAGTTCCTAACACAATATTATATAAAAATGATTAAATACAGCCTTCTTAGGTTTCCTTTCATCTTAAAGAATTACCCTAAGCATTCCATTGGGATTTTGCCTCAACCATTGTATGCCTCAACTCACATGAGACCATTTAATTATGATAGTCTATAAGATACTAAAACACAGTACCTTTATAAATATCAATAATAAAATATCCATCAACATAATATCAAGAATCAATTTAATTTTCTTTTACCAGTTTGATAATGATCTTCACAACTCTATGCCAAAACTGAGAAGCACTTCAAATTTTTGCACACATCACTTCTGAAAGCAATGAAAGAATAACAGGCTGCAAGAGCCTGTAACTAGCATAATCACATGAGAAATATATTTTAGGCTTTAAGTATATTTAAGGAAATGCTTCCAAAATTCTTATCATCGAAATGTATCCACTATAATTCATGAGTTATGTAATTACACTTTACTTCAATATTAATGTGTCATAAAAATTTCACCTTTGAAAGAAAATGTTAGAGCTTGTAAAATGGAAGAATGTGAAGCTATCACTCTGAGGTACCCTTCCATAGGGGGACTTGTTGATGTTGTATTTTTACCTCTGAAATTGGTTTCTCATAGACATCTTCTCCTATAGATTTCTCCTGGGCTAGGATGGCGTCTCGGTGCAGGACTCGGAGCACTTTCTCTGGTTCTGCAGACCCGTAATGAGCCTCCAGAACCTCAGGCTTGGTTTTCTCCGTCTTCAGCATATGGATCACATCTTCCCTGGCCTGTGGGTAGAGTGCAGCAAGGTCAGACAGTCGACAACATAAATCACATGCCAGACTCACAAAATCAACACAAAGCTTATTGAACACATCCCCATCTCTTCGGGGCTATTGGCAAATTCACTGGGTATTTTGTTCTTATTTTTTATCAAAAGCAGATTGGCAAGCAGATACTCTGCTTCAGGTTGCTAGGAAGCAGACAAGCAGAAAAAGGGTTTGTGCTAATATTAACTACACAAAAATTGCTTTATCTAAGTAGAAAAGATTCTGAGTGCTTTTGAATCAAGGGCACCTGGGATATTTATCCCATTTCAGTGCACATGAGGTCAAGGACAATTTGAAATTTTCTAGTTTTCTATGTATACTCTCAATGAAGAATTCAAATCTGATTTGAAATAGCACCCTGCTCTCCCCATTCTAGTTATAACTCTGTGTGTAATTAACAAAAACAGCCTTTATTAGTGATGTCCTGTTTCCCGTCAGGTGATTCATTTTGCTCAGAAACACATGGTTCAGAATTCACTTGATGCTGGGTTGAGCTTTTCAATTTAATATATTCACACCAAAGGTGACATTTAACTCCTCTAACATCCAGACAGCCAATCACATGAGTCAGATTGGTGGGGTCAAGGTTGTTCTTTGGGTTTCTCAGCAAACTTCAGCACTTCGTTAAGCTCTTGAGAAAACCAGATGATTATAGGTTTTATATCATATTTACTCTGGAACTCATTACATAATGTAAATACCTCTGGATATATTTTCTACTGGTTAATAGTGATGAATTTTCTAGTTATGATGGAGATGGCATTTGCTAAATGGACTCCCATCTGGTCATATACTTGTTTTCCCAGTAATGGTGATGGGTATAAAGTATACTGACTTCATGCCAACTTCTACCAAAGAACAATCTGGTTGGCAAGAGTTTCAGTCTGTGGCAATAGAATAGAGTTTTCTCCTGTGTTACGCTAACTATGCGTTTGAAATTATAACCTGGCTCATTATCATAGTATTCTAAACAACAGAGCTAACTAGTTAGCCCTGGGACAGGACCATTATAAAGTTTGGTCTTTCTTGAGGTTTCTCACTTTTATTGCCTTTTCATAGTCTCCAAATTAATCTAATTCCAGATGGCTAAAGACTAATTTATTACAGAAACGTCAATAGACTGGAATTTGCAGATTTTTCCCAAGTTGTCTTTGCCACATTTACATGTGCTCATTTCAACACAAAAAAAATGGAAAATATTAATTTTGAAGAAACTAGTAGTTCAGAATTCACGAGAAAGTTAAAGTTAGAAAATAATTTAATGGAAAGGCAATATGTTTCCGTGAGGAGTGAAAAGACATAAGCATAGATGCAGTCAGGGTATCCTGTACAGGCTCTCTGTGCAGTTTAGAAAAAAGTGCCCACTCACTCCAGGACATATAACCCTGAGTCAGAGTGCAGCTTACTTAGCAAGGAAAGAGAGTGCTGTATGTCAACCTCTATCTATCCCTTCTGCCAGGCACTCTTATACAAGGCATAACTCCATATAGATGGTGGCAGACTGAAGGAGCATAAGGTCTGTCATTGGTTATTGGTTTTCAGGCAGATAATGTAAATAAGGAGTTTTTAGAAATGTAAATAGGTAGCTATTTCAGTTCAAAAGTTGAAGCTATGTGGTTTAAAAATATGTAAATATTGTTAGTATCTGTCTTCTGGAACAAATCTTAATTCTCTTAGAAGAAAACAGTTTCTTTTGTTCCAACTTATATGAAACACCTTTTTCTTCTTTCTGTAAAATGTGCTTATGCTTGAGTTGTATTAATTGTGATATGCTGGAGCTCCTGGGTGGCTCAGTTGGTTGGGCAACTGACTTCAGCTCAGGTCATGAACTCACGGTTCGTGGGTTCAAGCCCCATGTCGGGCTCTGTGCTGACAGCTTGGAGCCTGGAGCCTATTTCAGATTCTGTGTCTCCCTCTCTCTCTGCCCCTCTCCCACCAATGGGCCCTCTTTCTCTCTCCCTCTCTCCCTCTCTCTCTCTCTGTCTCTATCAAAATAAATAAACATTTTTTAAAAATTGTGATATGCTACATATACCACACATTTCATTCTTAGTTTAATTACCCTAGGCACTAATTACTAAAGAAAAAGAGGTTATGGTGATATAACACTGTAAATTGTATATTTAAAACCACACTATTCATCATGAACTTACTAAAAGCTTTTTAATTGCTATAATAATCCTGGAAGGAATACAAATGTTACCTTTAAATTACTGCTACTTAAAGTAGTTTAATATAGTAATCAATCATTATTATTGCAGTATCTGTTTAATCGACGGGTTAATTAAATATCTATGTAATCACAATAAATTTTTAACTACTTTAAATATGATTCAATCTATGTAAATAATATTCTACATTTTGGGGATAAAACCACTTTATATCTCCATTTTGAGAAACTTCTTAATTTTTGTATAAAAGAATAAAAATTCAAAATGTAAGAAAGTTCCTGTCCTTAAACATTAACTGTTTTCACACAAAAGGTTTATCAGAAGCAAGTAGTTAAATTCTTAGGGTGCTGCAGTGGTGCTAAATAGACCACTGTATTCAAATATATGTAAAAGGACCCAGAGGGAAGAAAACTTTGAAGAGGACTCTAGACAAGAGAAAAAAGAAAGGGGGGGGCGGGGGAAGAGGAGAAAGAGATTACATAAAATTGTTCAATTTATTTAGTCCTGATGATGAAGGAGAATAAATACAAGATTAGGGTATAAAAACAGACATAGAGGGGACACAGTCTTCTATTCCATCCTACATGTTCCTCTCTGTGCTAAGGGAGGTATATGGAAGCCAAGAACAAAGATGTCCCTGCAGAACTGAAACTGTACTAGATGGAGCAAGAAGTTGTCTCAACTGGCTGCATAAGGAACTGATTAAAAACATGTGGGGGCAGCAAAGAGCTACTCTACCAACAGGTAAGTGTGTGTGATTCATTTTATAAAGTCAACAGAGGGTATCTGGGTTTTTCTGGGAGAGGGGGATATGAGGGTGGGGTGGACGCAGAATAAGACACAGGACAGGTGGAGACACAACAGGTGGCATATTTCAAAAAAAGGGTTAAATCCAATCATTCATTCAATAAATATTTGTGCACATTTACTTTGAGCAATGCATTGTGTTCAGTAGTTGGAAATATAATCCTCAGAGATTAAAGTCTGGAAGGATATGAACAAATAATTGAAAGCATTGACATGATAAGCTTTAGAATGGAGGAGATACAGGGGGCTAAGGATTTCATCTAAAAATACACTTAACTTGGATATAAGCGAAGGAAAAGTCTTCATAGAGGAAGTGACCCAAAAAACTCACAATGAGTACTTGAGCCCAGAAAATAGGGGAGTTAGGATAAGAGTGCTCTTGGCCAAGGAAAAACTGTAGGCAAAAGCCAAACAGATGTAGATGCATGGGCTGGAACAACCTAAGTCCAGAGTGATAAATAATGGGCAACTCATGAAAAGCCTTATAAACCAGGTAGAGTTTGCATTCTCTCATGGAATAGCAAGAAGCCTTAGAATTTTTAAGCAGCAAGACAGTGACATGGTCAGGTGTGTGTGCCGGAAAGATCATTCATCTTGTTAAAGGTGTTAGAAAGGAACAAATTCCAAATCAACAGGTATATTGGTGCAGCCCAGGATATGTGATTTAAAATATCTCTGTAAAACCCACAGTTAAAACCATACTCAATGGTGAAAAACTGAGAAATTTTCTTCTAAGATCAGAGCAAGACAAGGATGTCCACTTTCACTTCTTTTATTCAACATAGTACTGGAAGTCTTTACCACAGCAATCAGACAAGAAAAAGAAATAAAATGCATTTAAATTGGTAAGGAAGAAATAAAACTTTCACTATTTGTAGATAACATGATACTATAGATAGAAAACTCTAAAGACTTGACAAAAAAACTACTAGAATGGATAAATGAATTCAGTAAGGTCACAGGAGACAAAATCAATATAGAGAAATTTGTTGCATTTCTATTTACTAATAATGAAGTAGCAGAAAGAGAAATTAAAAAATAATCTCATTTATAATTGCACCAAAAAAAAAAGACTTAGGCATAAACTTAACCAAGGAAATGAAAGACTTGTACTCTGACAACTATAAAACACCAATGAAAGAAACTGAAGATGACCCAAACAATGGAAAGATATTCCATGCTCATGGACTGGAACAACAAATGTTGTTAAAATGTCCATACTACCCAAAGCAATCTACAGATTTAATGCAACCCCTATCAAAATACCAACAGCATTTTTCACAGAACTAGAACAAATGATTCTAAAATTTGTATGGAACCACGAAAGACCGAGAATAGCTAAAGCAATCTTGAAAAGGAAGAAGAAAACTGGAAGTATCACAAACCCAGATTTCAAGATAGGCTACAAAGCTGTAGTAATCAAAACAGCATTGTATTGGCACAAAAATGGACACAGATCAATGGAACAGAGTAGAGAATCCAGAAATAAACCCACACTTATATTGCCAATTAATCTATGACAAAGAAGGCAAGAATATGCAATGGGAAAAAGACAGTATTTTTAAAAAATGGTGTTGGGAAAACTGGACAGCCATATGCAAAAAAATGAGAATAGACTACTTTCTTTCTTTTTTTTTTTTTTTTAATTTTTTTTTTCAACGTTTATTTATTTTTGGGACAGAGAGAGACAGAGCATGAACGGGGGAGGGGCAGAGAGAGAGGGAGACACAGAATCGGAAACAGGCTCCAGGCTCTGAGCCATCAGCCCAGAGCCTGACGCGGGGCTCGAACTCACGGACCGCGAGATCGTGACCTGGCTGAAGTCGGTCGCTCAACCGACTGCGCCACCCAGGCGCCCCTAGACCACTTTCTTATACCATATACAAAAATCAACCCAAAATGGATTAAAGATCTAAACCTGAAACCTGAAACCATAAAAATCCTAGGACGGCACAGGCAGGAATTTCTCTGACATCGGCC